AGTGCTGTGGTTTAAAAAGAAGGAAGACTGCTTAAGTCAATTATTTTTGTCTCCTTCTATTTGTAAGGTTAGCATTTCTAGTTCTCAGGAATGAGCATCTGAGAAATCTGACCCATCTATCAATTAAGGGGTCTTTTGGAATGCTGTTGTTTTTTTTAATTTGGCTATGGAGTCATTCCCATATGACATCCACAATGGCCTAAGGCCCACCCATTAACTTCCCCTAAATCCAACATGGAGGGAATAATTTTGTGTAACCCACTCTTTGTACAATGTAAGCTTACTTAATTGGACTTTAATTAGAAAGCATTTGCAGGGTTTAAGGGAAACTTCTTTCGGTGTGATTCAGCTAAAAAAAGAGTGTTCTATACATTTAAGGATGGGTTAAAGCCATCCCCTCTCTCTGATGTCATTAAACACTTGGTAGATGGTTTAGAGAGGTTTCACCCACCTGCCTGGATCCAAACAGTTTGCATAGTTTTCGTCATAGTCTAACTCTATGACTTGTTATAATTTTGTCCTTGCAACCACATGCTGCTCCTACAGAAAGCTAAGGCATATGAAAGAAAATCATGTAGCCTCAATGGCTCTATTGAATTTTATACCAGAACCAAAGGTGGAATTGTGGGAAACAGCAGGTGGAAAGAGACCAGATGTGGATGTATTCTTTATTCTCATATTTTAAGAAGGCTGGCAAGCTGGATTTCTGGGGTGGAGGGAAGTCTTCACCCTTGTGACTTGGAGGTGAGTCCCAATCACATTCTCATAATTAATATTGTTCCCCACTGTATCCTCCCATCATAGTGCTATCTTAAAGTTACCTCTTACAAGCTGATTGCTATCTAGCTGGCACCTTTAACTATAGGAGCAGACCTGTGCTATTGCTCTCTAGACTCTGGAGATAGACATTCTCCTTTACCTGCCCCCTCACTCCCCCAACATTGGTGTTAGGTTACTCCTCCAGTGAACTCAAGGACCTCTAGGGTTAAGGGTTACCTATTTTGTTACCCATGTGGTTACCTGTAATTAGGGGGATTTGCATGCTTGTATATAAGCTGTTGTTGGAAATATAATTTCTCTCTCTGCGTGGACCAGGCTCATGAAGTCATGGCGGTGGAGGTGAACCCTTGCATGTTTTATCGTGTCTGATGTCTCTTTAATTTACTTTCCAATTACACAACATCCTGTTGGACACATTTGGTTGTGGGGGCTGGTACCCCACAGCATTTCAACTCCTGATAATAATCAATACATCTTCATTGTACATTTGATTAATTCCAATGTAAGATTCTTCAATTTCTTTATCATTAGCTGTATTGGCTAGTGCATATATTTGAATAGTAATTGTATTGACTGGATATCTTTGTGTGTAGATAGATATTATTCTATCACAGACAGTATTGCACTTCAAGATAAATTGTGAAATATTCTTTTTGAAGACAAATGCGATACCATTACTTATGAAACTGTCATTTCCAGCATAGTAAACCATATGATTCTCTGAATCAAAATGGCTAATACCAGCCCATTTCAATTTATTAACACCCAGAATATCAATCTCTATGTGTTCCCTTCATTCTGACTATTTCTAATTTTCTTATATTGATACTTTATACATTTCAAGGTCTAATTATTAATAGATGGCTGTAGCTGATTCTTCTCATTTTGAATCATGCTCCATCAGCGAGTGAAGGTTCTGAAGGCTTTACTTCTATAGGTTTCACTCCATACAAGGCATGATTGTCCCCTGCACTTGGAGAAATCCTTTCCTCATCGTATTTTGAGGCATTCTGCGCAGCTCATCTCCTGGCACTACATCTGACAATATTCTGTTGCTATTTATGCGGTTTTCAGAATCTGACCATATTTTGTTGCATATGGTGGCTAATTCCTCTGGACTGGACAGTCTATCCCTTCTTTGTAGCCTGTGTTTAGTCTGGAAGCTCTGCTGAAACCCGTTTACTTTGGGTGACTCTTCTGGCATTTGAAATATCAGTGACATTACCTTTCTGCATCACAGCAACACACAAGTCACCATAATACGGCAGCCTGACAAGACAAGTGCTGGATAGGTAGAATACTGCCTCCTTAATGTGGTCACAGCCTTGATACAATTGACGGAGTTTTCTTTCAGGGAGTAGCCTTTTCTTGGTATAGGTTGGCATATTCTAAACCTAGCTCACTTTTTCTCTCACTGGATCTGGGCCCTGCATCTAGTTTGTCAGCCTCCTGTTTTATTTCCTGCTGATCCCAGGAGTTACCAGCAGTGTGCAGACCTTGACTTACTTATTCATCCAAACTCATATTCATTCAGTTCTGCATCCACCAGCTTTCAGTGACCTGGTTCCTTTTTGTCAGCCTCTTCAGGTGCACTATTCAGGAGAAGCTTATAGTTTATATCTGAGCCAAACATGAACCAGACTGGACTAACCCACTTCTACAAAAGTGTGAGCCATTACTGAAT